CTAACCATATTAAGTGGGTGTTTTAAACTGATGTGCTGCTGGAGGTAGTAACACGGAGGGGACTTAGCTACCCTGTGTAGCAATATGTACCGCGGAAGAGCTTTGCATTGTGGTTGTTATCGCACAAGGTAACTTCTCCCCCGCCGAAGTTAGCCTAACTAACTTTAGCTAGTGCTATCGTGAATACGATCCCAGAGATAGCAACTGGGCATTTCAGCACTTTCCACTGCCAAACAGGCACTTGCCAAGACCAGATCAATGATTGCACAAGAAGCAGCCCTTGCCCTCCATTCCTGGAACGCCATTCTGGAATGGCAGGGCGCTCTGCAAATAAGAAAGCAAGCCAGATATTGCATGTCCTTTCTTAATCAAAGAAAAATTACATGATTTTTTATCTCTCTTATGAATTTCTGGTCTGAGGTGGAAAGCAGCTGACAGGAGCAGCACGGGTGTCCTTATCTGCCCCATGTGGCACGGTTACTTACTCATTACATTATTATTTTAAATTAGGGTAAGTCCAGTGGCTATCAAGGCACTTTATCTGAGAGAGAAAATTCATTCTTGGGGGGTAAGGTATGTTCCTTCAACTGCATGACAGGAAGAACAAAAGTCTAGAATGGCAATAGCTCCCAAATGTGAAACATATTCAACTTTTTTCATCACAAATGGGCTGACATGGGAACATCAGGTCTTTGGAATGGCTGAAAAATTAAGCATGAATAAATTACAACCTAGAAAGAACGAGGCTAGGCTATTTCCTACTGTTATTTCTTTCAGTGTGCATTATTTGAGCTGCTCAATTCTCTCTCTCTCTTTTAAAAAGTCAAAGACCCTGTAATCTTACTGGAAAAAAAGAGTCCACATAGTATTGTGCAGTGCTGTCACAACGGCTTTCACTTATACCCAATTAAAAATAGAAATAAGCATTCAAAGCCGAGCCTATTTCCTTCCCATTCTTCTGTCTGCTTGCAGTTGTAAAGCATGCATATATAGATTTCCTTTGTAATTATTTCACGGCCCACCAACTGGTGTTTTATGAACCGCAGTGGTCTGTGGACCAGTAAACCTAGTACCATTTCTGCTTCCCTGCTGGATAACCTAATCTACTTCTGTCACAGTTTAAGAAGTTACAGAATTAAGACTGAGATACAATCAATTTTCCCTGAAGAGTTTTGTTTAATGTTTCTATAAATATGAACAAAGTGACTGAAGAGGAGCGACTGAAGAGGAGCTCAAGGATGATAAAGATAAAACTCTTCAGACTTCACACAGCACAAATTGTGCAAATTCACACAATCTACAATTATCACCCTAGCTCAATTATGGGGACCAGAGGAACAAATAAAGATGGAGGGCTCCTTCACAGGATTTAGATAAAAAAGCACAACCTCTGCAGTTAGTGTGCTGATACTACAGCAGCGAGCTTCAACAGCTGCTACTGTTACACAAAGTCATCTAGGTTTTCTTGTTGTGTGAGGGGGTTCTTGCTCTTGGGAAAACTTGCTGGACACGTCTTGGCTTACAGACACTTGAATGTGAAGGAAAGTGAACTCTTTCC